CGGCCCTGCCGCGGCCAGCGGGGAGCGGGCTGTCCCGGGCGGGCCGCGTTCAGAGCTTGGGAAGCCCTGTCCTCCGGGGAGCCTCGCCGGGCGGGGGGCGGGCGGGGACGCGATGCGGAGCAGGTTCTCGCCGTGGTGGCGGCAAGGCGGGCCGGTCGTGTCCGCCGGGGCCGCAGTGGGAGCTGGCTGGGTTCTGCGGGCGTTTGAAGTGTGAAGCCAAGCGGGATTCCTGATGGGGGGACGTAGAGGGAGGCAAGGAAAAGTCCGGTGCGGCTCGGGTGTGATGTCCGCGGACGGGAGCCAGGTTGCCAGGAGCCAGGAGAGGCGGGAGCTGGGTCCGGGCACACGGAGGCGCGGCCGTGCGACTGCGAGCTGTGTCCCTGCTCCTCCGCGGCTGCCGTGGGGCTCCGGAGCAAGATGGGAGCAGTAAGAGAGGGGTTTTGAGAGCTGGGTCGTACAGAGCTGAGTGCTGTCGGTGTCAGGACAGGCAGCGCCCTGTGGAGCTGCTGAGGCGGCTGGTGTGTGTCTCAGTCTGGTACTCCCAGGAAAGATTTGGAGATGAAATGCAAGCGTCCTCAGGCACAGACAGTGGGTAAGCTGTAAGGCTGGAAGCTCATGTGGGGTCCTGTGGGCAGGGTTTTCGCTACTTTGAGAAACCCGGGCCGGGGATATAGCTCAGTGGCGCAAGCGCCTGCCTGGAAGCGCGAGGTCGTGATTCCCGGTACCAAAAACGAAACAAAACAAAAAACAAACAAAAAAAGGGAAACCCGGGACTCAACACCCGCTGCAGCTGATGCTTAGCACCGTGTCAGCCCTCCACCTCCTTGCCAGGCTCAGTATCCTTGCTCTTGCTGTAAGTCTTTTTGGCAGGTACTGTTAGAGGAAAATGAAATAGTAAAAAGTAAAACCGAAGCCGGGCGTGGTGGCGCATTCCTGTAATCCCAGCGCTCGGGAGGCTGGGGCAGGAGGATCATTGCGAGTTCAGAGCAGCCTGGGCTACAAAGTGAGCTCAAGGCCAGCCTGAACTGCATAGCGAGACCTTGTCTCAAAAAGGCAAAAGAAAAAAAAAAAGAAAAGAAAAAAAAGTAAAACTGATAACTCTACCTTCATATGTTAGGTTAGGGAGGTTCTTTGGGTAACTTATTTCTCATTTGCTGGTTTTACAGCTGAAGGACGTCCCAGAAAGGTTATGATCCTGCTGGGATCATACAGGGTTGTGGCACAGGACAGATGGGATGCAGGTCTCTGGATATTGGGTCCAGCACTCTCCACTCTATTGAGTTTTACCTTTTTTTCATCCTCTTAAGTGAGTGTTAGAGGCATCATTAGTAAGTAGAATGCTGATTTGATCATTCACACTGTCAGCACTACAAAAAACTCAAGAGCAGAACTGTTACCCACTGCTTAGGTCCATACAGTCAGGTTCATCTGCTTGGCTGCTGACAGTATCAAAAGATGCCATGTATTTAGGTAAAAAGGGAAAAAAGACCTACTTAAAGCTAGCTCTGAGTAGATGGAAGGGCCTGTTTGCTTCAAAGCACCATCTACCTGCTTAGAGGTAGGCAAGGCTCTTTTATATAGTAAGAAACAGAGAGGAGGGGTACATAGACAGTGCAGATCTTTACACTTGTTTTGTCACTTTCAGCCATCTTCAGCTCATCCTCCTCTGGTGGAAAACAAACCAGCCTCCAGGCCTCCTAGGACTGGCATGTACATATTCTGTTACTTCTTTTGCCTGAAGTGGGGAGGGTTTTGCTGTGTGCTCAGCAGCATAAAGTTTGGAGTTCTGTTTTACAGAAATTGTCCGTTATAATTTTCCCCTTGCTTGTTTTGTTTTATTTTATTTTATATTTATTTATTGTTTTATTTTACTTTGTTTTGTTTCATTTTTTGAAGACAGGGTCTCGCTGTATAGCCCAGACTGGTGTCAAACTCATGGCAGTCCTCCTGCATCACCCTCCCAAGTGCTGGGATTATAGGTGCACACCACCACATCTGGCCCCTTTGCTTATTTTAGCCCTCAGTCAAACCTGAGTGTATGAGCCTAAGTGTCTGGTAATAGGACTGATACTGAAAATTGGCCAGACACGAAGCAGAATAAAGTATATGCTAGGAGGGTTGGGGCTAAAGCATTAGAATTTGCAGTGTCTTTTTCATTAAGAAATTCTTTTTGATTTTTAGTTTTTCATTTGAGATGTATGAAAGATTGTAAAAGTAGTACCAACTACCTGAACATGTGAAAAGATGTTCAATATTGCCAGCCATAGGGAAATAAAAGTTAACTCTAAAATGAGGTATGGTATGGGTCCAGTACTACATATGATAGTCCAGTCCTGTAATCTCAGCACTCAGGAGGCTGAGGCAGGAGGATCACTGCGGGTTTGAAGCCAGCCTGGGCTACAAAGTGGGTTCAAGGCCAGCCTGAACTGCATAGTGAAACCTTGTCTTAAAAAGACAAAAAAAAGAGAGAGAGAGAGAGATCACTGCATGGATATTAGAATGACTTTATTTTATTTTATTTTTTTGTCTTTTTGAGACGGTTTCAGTTCAAGCAGGACTTAAACTCAACAATCCTCCTGCCTCACCCTCTCAAGTGCTGGGATTACAGGTGTGCACCACCACGCTCGGCTTAGAATGACTTTAAAAAACAAAACCTTGTATTTCCAAAAGTCTACATAGATGTCAAGAAGCTGGGTCTCTCATACATCTCTTGCAATTTCTCCAGAAAATGAGACCTGCCCTTCATTCCTGAGCTTTTGTTGTGACATGAAAACTTACTTTCATCTGTGAATGTTCATAGTTTCTTGTTTGTGACTGCCTGAGACTGGAAACAACAACCCGGGAGCTTTAAGGAGGCAGGAGGATCACTGCGGGTTCTTTAAGGAGTAACTGGTTAAATAAACAGTGGCAGGTTCATACCCTAGTATGCTCCCTAGCAGGGTTCACTCAACCTGGGTGGATCTCAGGGGCTTTGTGCTGAGTGAGGAAAGTCAATCTCAGAAGGTCTGTACTGTGTGATTCCATTTTGTGAATATTCTCAAAGTGAAGGTCTTATGGCATAGCAACTAATTAGTAGTTGCCAAAAGGTGGGGACAGTGGGGAGATTGGATTCACTGTAAGGGGCAGCAGGAAGGAGATCTTTGGTGATGGTGTTATGGAAAACAGATGGAACATGGGAAGAAATGGCACCAAGAAGGTTTAGAAGGTAGTTTATTACACCAGTGGGCATGACTAGGATCTTTCCTCAAGAGTCAGAGCCCCTCCCAGCAGATTTGGTGCATTATGATTGGAGGGTTGGGTGACATCATGGGTTGTCAAGGGAGTTCAAACATCTCAGTTTATATTGCAAGGCTGTCAGTTGCACAAAGACATCCTAAGTTACATTGTAAGGTCATCAGTTACACAGGGGCAGTAAATACAAGGGTTACACAAAGGAAGGAGTCTTCTGCTACCATTCTTGCCTAGGTATGTCATTTGGTTTTGGCAAGCATTCTTGGCTACTTTTACTAAAAAATTTGATTTCCCCTTAATGAGACAACTCCCTTTGTATGTGTGATCTCAGGATTCAGGACAAAGTGCCTGCAGGGGCTGTTGCAGTCCCAGGTCTGTTCGTGATATTATATAAGGTCAAGGCTGGCCTCAGACTCACTGTGTAGCTCAGGCTGGCCTCAGTTACAGATCCTCCTGCCTCAATCTCAGGCAATGTCACTGTGACCTGCTAGCTTCCAGGTTTTGATAACATGCTATATAGTTATGTGAATATCAGCCTTTGTGGAAAGTTGGGTGGTCCAGGGTGCGTCTCTGTACAATTTTTCATCTACTTGTAAATCTAGTTATTTGAAAATAGCTTGGTGTGGTGGTGCATGCCTGTAATCCCAGCGCTCTGGAGGCTGAGACAAGAGGATCCCATGAGTTTGAACTACAGGTTGAGACCCTGTCTCAAAAAAACAAAACAAGGGGGCTGGGGATTTAGCTCAGCGGCACAGCGCCTGCCTGGCAAGCGCAAGGTCGTGAGTTCGATTCCCGGTACCGGAAAAAAAACAAAAAACAAAACAAAACAAAATTACAAAACAAAACTTAAAATCAAAATAAAAAATAGTAGAAATTCTGTATCCCATTCACTTAGATACCCTAACTGTTAGCATCAAGTATGAAAACCAGGAAATTGATGTTGATGGACCTCTGTTCAGTCTGCAGACCTAAACTCAATTTTCATGTTTGTGTCTGTCTGTCTGTCCAGTGAGTTTGTACAGATATTTCCAGTTTCCATCATTGAGTTTATTCCAGCCAAGGATCTGTGAACCGTACCCACAGCTCTTTCTTTGCACTTAGGTGTGGTCTGTGCCTGTTCCTGATGCTGGAGAGGCTCTGTGCTTCCTGGCTGTCCCTAGAGTGGTCCACTGACCCGGTTGTCTTTTCCCTCCATCTCCTTTGTCAACAAGAAGCTGTCTCATCAGCCACAGTTATTTGCTTAGTCCTAGAGTACATATAAAATAGTGTTATCAATTTTTTCTTTTCTCTGGCTTTCTGTTTTGAACACGACAAAAAGTAAAGTCCACAATCACAACAGTGGTGAATGACTCAGGTGTAGTTTATTAGAAAGAACAAAGAAAAGCTCTTGCTGCTGGCAGAGAGGGGCTGGAAGGGAGGATGCTGTGGAGGGTCTAAGTCCAGGGGTTTATATGTAGACTTCAGTGTGAAAATGAAATGCAATTGAGCTTTTAGGTAGG